GCGTCTGCAGGGACAGCGCCACCCCGCCCCTCGTTTGGGGGAGAAGCCGCAGGCTTTCTCTCCCTGGTGCGAGCCTCTGGGCCGCGCAGAAGCGGCCCAGATGAGCTGTTTCGGGGCCTCAGGGCCGTGACCGAGCTTAAAAAGCCCGCTTCCGGAGTGTGCGTGGATGGCTGGGCAAGGCGCAGCCCGGCGCCCCGGCGGCAGACGCACGTCGCAGGCCTCGAGCTGGCCCGCTGCCGTCGGCCTCTTCCTCTGCAGACTTGAGAGTCAGCCAAGCGGGGTGTTCTGGTGGGAAATTTATGTCCCTGGCCGGGAGGGTGGGAAGGAAACCAATCTTGCCTCTCTCCTCGTGTTTGTGAAGCCTGCAAGTACAATGTGTTTTGTTACTCGCTTTGATAAAACCTATCAAGTGACTTTGTGGACCAAAAATAGGCCTTTTAAAAGCACCTTTGCGTGCCAGACGGAGCTATTTTTTCCCCTTTTCTCGGAGGGCCGGCAGTTAATCAGCGAGGCTGGGAAAGTTGACGTATTCCCTTTTGATTCATTTTCTTGAAAACGTTTGAAACCAAACGTGGCTATCAGCGTTTTCCGGTGCGCTGTCGTCTGAAAGGCACCGGCTGTAACCGGAGGCGTCCTCCCTGACCAGACCTGAGCCCGGGGCAGAGCCCCTCCGCAGGGTGGCGGCCCCTCAGCGGGACCCCAGGGAAGGGCCGGCCTGTTCTGCGGCTGTGGGGGACGGTGGCGTGCCCAGCACAGTCTGTCCTGGCAGTATTTTACCTTGTAGAGTGGACATCTTTGAAAAACGATTTCCCTTCTGGGAGAGACTCGCACGGTCTCATCTTCTGACGTGTTTGATCTGCCCTGGGCCAGCGGTGTTTCCTCCATGCTTGCAGCTGAGCTGAAGACCATTTGGGGGGCTTCAGGGCTGGGGGCCATGTGCAGTCCTTCCCCAGCTCTACAGCCCCAGGGGCGGCAGGGTGCCCTTTATGGAGATGGGGGGGGGGCTAGCTATTGGGTGAAGGTTCAGCCTTGGGTCTTGCCCTCTCCTGCCGCTGCGTGGCCCAGCTCTGTCCAGCCTCATCTGCCAGCATCTCCGCGGCTGGTCAGCCTAGTGCCCCCGCCCAGCTCCCTCTTCTACGCAGCCACCCCAGCTAAGGGTCCCTGGCACCCTGATGCCACGCGCCTGTTTGAACCCTGCCCCCAAAGCACCCTAGGACACGACGACAAGATCTCATCGCCCCCTGTGGGGCTCTAAGTTTTCCCTTTGTCCCGGCTCTGTCCACCCTCCAGCCCAAGCTGGTAGCCATGTGGGTGTTTGTCTTCAGCTCGCTGAGTCCACTCCTCCCTCTGGGCCTCTGTACCTGCTGCCCCCCACCCCCGACACACTGACCCTGGGGTCTGGACGGCTGCTTCCTGCGGTCACTCAGGCCACAGCTTCCCCCTGGGCCCCCCTCCAAGCTGGTGATCCCGTTGACATCGCGCCCCCCAGTTTCAGCTCTCCCGAGGCCCTGACCACTAGCTCACTTCAGTTGTGAGCGTTTTCACGCTCGCCCAGCGCGTACGCTGACGCGTGGCAGCTGGTGCCGCCGTGTGACGAGCCACCCAGCTCGGCCGCGGGAGCCGGGAGCCTCGACGATGCTGGCGATCCGTGGGCTGGTGTGGGTCGCCTGGCCCGGGCGGGGGGTGGCCCCTCAGACGTTAGCCGGGCCTGGGGGTGGTCCCCCTGGGGAGGGCATGCCGGACAGCGCCTCTGCCTGCTCGGGGCTCGCTGCCCCGAGCCCTCCCTGTGGCCAAGCCAGGCCAGCGTGAGGACGGAGACCGCTTCTCGCTGGGAAGGCTGCAGACCAGTGGGGGCCCGCGTGCGCCCCCAGCCTAGGTGAAGTAGCCCTCTGCCTCACGCACGCGGGCCGGTGGCCTCACACAGGCACTGGCCAGGAGCCAGAGAGCAAACACTTCCGCGCCCAGGGCCAGATGGCCTCCGCCACGGCTGCCCCGCTCTGCCCTCACCGCCGGGCAGCCGTGGCGTGCTGGGTCCCGGCGGGGCGGAGTGTCACCTGTCGCAAGCCCGGCGCCTGTGGAGACACCGCAGAGCACCCCAACACGTGGTCATTTTGTGTCTCCGCCGGGGCGCTCGCACTCCTGGAGGGTCGGCAGGTAAAGGCGCAGCGCCCAGGACGGCCCTCCGCAGGCGCCAGCCACCACTTGGGCCCCAGGCCACCCTCTCTGCGGTGCTCCCGGTGAGGGCGACC